AACCCAGAGAGGCAGAGCTGGTTGGCCATGATCACACAGCCAACCAGGAGTGGAGGCCACCTGATGCCCCATCCAGAGCTGTCCCCTCTTTTAGGGAAATTCCACTGGGCCCGTGAATGTCCTGAAAAAAAAAAATAATAAAATGAATAGATAAGAATGTCCTCATTTAAACAAAACCAAAATTTTTAGGTCAACCACCCACCTTTGTTTTTTCTTGTGTTTTTCCCATGAGGAAGTTTTGTTCGCTTTCAGGCTCATTGCCTGTTCCTTCTAGAATACCCTCGACAGCTCGAACAGCTTGTCAGCTGACACACCAGCTTTGTTGTTACTCCAGGAATCACGCTTCTCTCTCAGCAAGGCAGGGATTTGCTTATTTCAAGCAGGGGGTCTCAAGTTTACAGAATTCCAGCATGGCCAAAAGAATTGACGTAGAGCATTTGAGTCGATGACAGCCAAAGCCTGGCCTCTAACCCACTCTGGCTGTAAGCTGCTTTCTCTCCACGAACGAATCTAAGCCTTCCCAGCTGAAAGCTCTTGGGAGTTTGGAGCGATTCCATCTCGAAGGCCTAGTGTCCCATGGAAAATGAGCTAATTAGTGAGCTCCCTGGCATCACTGCAAGCTGAAAGGTACAGATAATAAAGATTATGTGTGTGATATTTTATAACCCTGGACACCATGCAGTCCTCACCTAAATTAGATGCTTGAAAAGCCAGGGAAGGGCTGACCCGAACGTTAATCATTTCACTTTACGGGTCTAGACCTTGTTCAGAAAAGTCTCTGCAGGTTTCTCCTCTCACCCATTACAGAGTGTGATGTTGTTTAAAACCATCTACTGGCAAGATGCCTGAAAGTCATTTGGTTCAGGGTGGCAGCAAACTGATTTTTTTTTTAAAGAAAAAAAAATCTCACTTGATTACAGGCGTGTGTGAAAGAAGTCAGATGTAGAAGGTGGGTGAAAAGCCTGAAGGACAAACCACTCCGTGGCTTCTATTTAAGAATTTATTTTTAATTCTTATCCAAGTAATACATGTTCATAGTTTAAAAAGAAACAAATACTATAAGACTTTTAATGAAAACTAGCAATCCCCTATGGGCTGCTCTCTAGAAGTAACACTTTCACCTCTTTTAGCTGTTTCTTCTAATATTTACCTTTGCATTTCTACGTAACATGCTTATAAATCTTTCATTTTAAAAATTAATCTAGAAACATCTACTGGCTTTTGCTACCGTGGTAGAGAAGGATCTTGCTCTTACCCATACCGTGCTTTGTTTTTCCAGTATGGTTAGATGTGTTATTTGGTACATCTCCATTGTGGGCATATGAGGACTGTTTACTTGTGAGCCAAGTAGTGTACTGTAGTTACACGTCCTTTCTCGTCAAATTTCTTCTCCCTCCTTGTTGATGATGATTGATGATGATGATGATGATGATTTTGGTGTGGCGCATTCCTTAGCAACTTTCTTAGAAAAGAACATGGGAAGTAGATATTATTGTAAATATTTTGAGATTTTGCATAACTTAAAATATCCTTATTCTGCCCTTACCCAGGTGTAGCTGGATATAGAATTGTGGGTGGGAAATAGTACCCTCCCACCACCCCCCATCGTGGTGGTTGAGATTCCTGATGCCATTCTGATTCCCAGGCCTTTAGCTGTGAGTTGGGTTTCTCCACCCTCCCAGGAAGCATTTAAGATCCCTTCATTCTTAGTGTTCTGAACTGTCTGGATGGTGTTGTACCCTTGATGGTGTACCTCGTGCTGGGTTCTCATGAGAAACTTCTTAAATTTTCTTGTAATTCTTCACATTCTTTCTTTCTGTACCACCTGTTGTTCCAATGTTGGACCTCCCAGGCTAGACCTCTAATATTTTTTTATCTTTTCTATTTCTCATCTCTTAATTTATTTTTTTTGGATCTGCTTTCAAAGGTAGTTATTTAGCTTTATCTTCTCAATATGCCTGATGAATGTTTTATTAATTTTTAATTTCCAAAACGTTTTATAGTGTCCTGTTCTTGTTTCATGGGTGCAGAACTTATTTCTCTGTGGATGTTCATGATAGTGGGGTTTGGGGGAAGTTCTTTTCTGCTCTCTGTTTTGCCTTTATTTCCTCTAAGTTCCCTTTCTCTTAGTCGCACTCTCTGTCTTTCACATTACAAGTTTTCTTTGGATATCTAGTGATTCTGTGGATCGGTTCGTGTGTAAGAATGATACATCACAAAATGGATAGGAAGTTCTGTGTGTCAACTGGTGGATTTTTCTGTAGGGTCACCAGGTGGGCACCTGGACTCTTCATGGGAGGACCACACGTATCAATATTTGCAGGTCTTTTCTCACTGTGTTTCTTTAGAGATATTTCCACTTCTCTCCTGCCTGAGATAAAGGGACATACGCAGAGCTGCTACTAGCCTGTGCAGGACCCTCATGCAGTTTCAAAAAGGGCATTCCCTCTGAGTGGATGGATGACTTAGAAATAGGTGCCCCTCTGAGCAGAAGCCACCCGTGGGCACTTGGCCAAACTGGCAGAAGCCATCTTTTGCCTCTTTCTCCAGGGAAAGGCTTGAGGAGCAGAGTAAGGGCTAGATTTTAACTCGCAATTGCCCCCTTAGCCAGGCACCTTTGTGCCGTGCACGGACTGGAGGGCCGTACCCAGAGATGCCGGCACACACCTGAGCGCCTGCATCCTGCTTCTGAGCAGGCATCTCATCACAGTCAGTGTGTACACTCACTGAATCGCTCCCGCCTCGCTGTGCCTGGTGTCCCTGGGTTAGAGCCCCTCTGCTTCCCCCCGAGGAGTAGGCCGCTGGCGCTGCTGGGTGCTGGTGCCTCCCCTCTGCATGGGCAGTGCGTAGCCCTGCTCCCGTCTGCCTCAGTTTTGCCCCTGCCATGCATGGGTTGGCATCTCGCGCCTGCTGTCATCTCCTCTTCATCCCTTTGTCTTTATGATTCCATCCCTCCCATTCCTTTGTTCTTATTTCCCTGGGGTTTCACCAGGGAAGACACCATCTTGAATCACAGGTCCCACGTTTGCTGTCTCCCTGCTTGTTAGGTGGCTCGCTGCTCTGTGGGCGCGCTGTGAACGTGCCCTGAGTCCTGCTGAGGGGTGGTCTGCGAGTGCCTTCATATAACGCTGGGCCAAGTGAGGAGAGGCGGGAGCGCACCTGGAGCTCCCCTGGATGCCCCGGTACAGATAGGACTCTCTCCTTCCTGCCTTCCTTTCCACCTCCTACCCGACGAAACTATCTTAGAGCTCCGTTCCCCGCCAGACTCCCGCTTCTTGGGAGTCATGCACTTTCTAGGCTTTCTTTGCCACCGTCCCTTCACTGGGAAACAGGTAGTCCGCACTGGTGTCGGCCAGCGAACAAACTGGCTGCACCCTCTGTTGGATGGCTGTTTGGAACTTTGTGAGCAATTCCTCCTGGTCAAGCCCGGCCTCTGTAGGGAGTGGGGCTCCCACCAGGACTGGGAGCCAGGGAGTACCCCACTCCGTGCCCCCTAGAAGCCACCCTGGGCACAGGCTGCTTCTCCCTTTCTGGGGTTCAGCTCTCTCTTCCCGTCCCCATGCAGTGCGAGCCTGCTCTTTGTGAGGGTCGAACTCATAGAAGGCAGAAGATTTGGAGGCTGCCTGCCTGTGTAGTTAATCTTCATAAATTATAGGTCATTTGATAG